AATTTTTGTTTTGCTTTCACTAATCCAACCGCTGGGCTACTGTAGACAAAAAAATAGAAACTTAACGTCTCTTGCTTCCATATTGACAAGAGATTGAACAGTATAAGAATGAGTATTGGTATTCTTAGATGTTAGTGAACCAGATATTATCTTTTCTCCTTGAAAAGTCATTGTACATTTACTTCGAAATTCTTTAATCGAATCAACTTGATCGAAATTAAAAGTTTCACTTGGAGAATAGTTTTTTTTATTTCTGTTCGTACAGTATGAATAAAGTCTTTGGTTGAAGTTTTGTTTTCATAGGCATTTGAAATCGACTGTATGCTTACACCTTTAGAAATCTTTCGAGAAACAATATGACGTTTGTTCGTGAAATTAGAAACTCAGTGGTTAGAATCAACGAATTCAAACATTGATTCTTGTAAAGCATTCATCATTGACAATCGTTTCAGATCGACATCATAAATACATCATGATTGGCCACCTGTTTCTTTAAAATTCTGCACACAAATAAATCGATCTCGGCTTTTTTGTCATTGCGATACATTACAATTAACGTAATCTCATGAGTGAGAGAGATGTTATCTCTGTGAAATTGGACGCAATCGATCACTAATACTTTCTCAGCTATATTTTCACTTTCCATATTTGTTTGTTTCATCATGATATTCAAATAATTACTTGTTTCATATAATCAAGATAAAACTTTTGTATTGATTGTTTATCGTTTTTTCTTCTTCTTCTTCTCCTGTTGAGCCTGTTTTTTCATCATTGTCTTGCATTTTTTTGAGACTTAGTCTTTTCATCATCTTCACTTTTTTTGAGATTCATGTTTTATGAAATCTTCAGAAGAATCTGTTTGATAGAGTGCAGATTCATCATATATTTCGAACAATGAAGCTAATAAGAAGGTTTGAATAGTTTCAAATAGATATTGGACCAACTGTTGAATTCGTTTATTTTCTTTAGCTTGGTAAGTATGTTTTTCTGAAACTCGTTTAGATAGCATAGTTATGATATTAGTTGCTTAGTTTATTTGTTCAAACAAGATGAAAAATGCTATAAGATTATGGGATGCATCATGCTTCCTTTCTGAAACCGACATGACACGTAGTGAAGACCGTCAGTGGTCATTTTCTCTTTTCCCTTTTTTTCTCTGTTTCTATAGTATGACATGCTAGCTAACCGATAGAAATATAATTTGATATTCTCAATTTTGACAGAATCATGAATTAAAAACTAATATAGAAAGTAAACCACTATTACCCCAAGAAAAAAAATCCAATATAAAGTCCGATGCAATCTCTCAAGGTAGTATGAACAGATCAATCAAGATCGTAACCTAAGCATTACTCCAATTCAGGTCAAAAAATTAGACGCGAGATCTTTAGATCAGATGTCTGATATTGTATGATCCAATGATATCAGACGACCTTCAACAAAAAATTGTGATGTCTACAAAACTTACATCAAGTCTTGATGTACGATTTTTCCAAGATCATATTATCTGTACGATATCGAAAGAATCACATGCCTGATTTTGATGTAAGTTTTGCAGACACCACATTTTTTTGCACGATTTTCGTCTGATTGTTTGACCTGGGAACTGTTGAAATGGTTCTTTTGATCTAAGCTGATCGGTAGCAACAACTCATTAGCTCATTTGATGCGAGCTAATGTGTTGGAAATGTCTTAGGTCTACTCCAAAGTAAGAATAAAGTATCGTACTTCATTTGTAATTCACTAGTACTTCGGACTACTCAAGTCTTGCTTTGTCTTCCTTCGATATTTGACAATTTTAAAAGTTGTACTCACTTGTTGACTAAAACTATCTTTAAGTTTTAAAGATAAAAGTGATAATATTCATGAACAAAATAGATCAATCTCAATAGAATTTTGCGGCAATTCTAAAAATTGAATTCGAAACGATTTAAGCAGTCAGGAGATCTCGACGAACATAAAGAATGAGAGTAATCTCTGCAGTTAAATTTAATATATTATATTTTATTTTTGTTGATAATGAATTTCTAAGAGTTGGCATTGAAGAATAATTGCGGCGTGAGTAACTTTTACCGGAGCAAGTATCATGAACCTATCACTACTCTAACTACTTATATGCAGAGTTTCTCTCAAATAGAAATAATAAAACAAGTTTTACAGTATCTTAATTTTTGTTGAAAGTCTTGGTTTCGCCTACGTGATTGCTCTGCTTGTTCTCTTGAATTCAACACATAGGCCACTGTAACTTTTATGATAGTTTTGATAGCACTTTGTAAGAAGTAAAAAGTAACGTTATTATTGAAGAAAGAAAAATAGTGACGACAAACAAAAAAAAAGAAGAAAACCATGTTTTGAAACAACATTACCTTTTGTTCTGATACAAGTCCTTCAACCTACTCTAAAAGCGTTTCATCAGAAAGGAAACTGCCATATTTTGACACTTTTATTACCCTGGTAAAAACTGATAAAGACCAACTAGTTCAACGGTTCTAATCGGCTCGATCTCGCTGGACCAAACTGGTTGCAACTCTAGTATATTTTCGTACAAACTATCATTTTATTCTAGTTATATCTTCTCAAAGCAATTCAAAAACTTTCATATGGATTTTGCTGTTGGCTTGTTGTTCATGTTCCATTTCATTGCAGATAATACTCATGAGTGTTTGAATACTGCTGTAGACTTGCAAAGACAAGGCGTGAATGTATTTCATAACTTCTTTCCAATACTTTTATCGTCTATTTGCCATATAAGATTTTCAAACTTCTTATCATATACATGTATATGCATTATGTTGTTGAGTATATTAATGAGCAACAAAAATTTCGGAAACTATACTTAATCGAGTTAATCGCATTGGATATCATTGTTATTTATAATTCTTTATCCATTTTTCGTATAGATATTGGAATACAATTGAAGATAAAATTCAAAATACTTGGTTGTTCATTGGAACGTTGTGTCAAGTTCACTGAATGATATACTTTGTTTAAATCACTTGTTTCAATGATTAGTACTGGAAAATCTTGTCGTATTAATTTCAATGCAACATCAGAAGTTATATTTGACAAGATATATCAAATGTTGATCAAGCTCAGGGATGAACTAAATGTACGAGATTTCTTGTTATTATTTTCTTCTGTATCTTCATCGTTCTCATTCTCATTCTCATATAATACATAATACGATAACGAAAGTGCGTGTTTTCTTCAATTGAAATATTTTCGATTGTTTTCAGATCATTATTCTAATCTGTCTTAGTTTATTTTATGTGAGCCTTTTTTATATCGGATAAGCTAATTTTTTTTATGTATATACGCTAAAATATTTATTTTCCTTTTTAAAATATTCAAATGATATCCTTTTGGCCTCTTTATACCATTATTATATAATCCTTCTATGTATTTTTTAATTTTTTCATCAATACTAGGAACTTTATCATCACGATGATCGTGATAAGCTTCAGTTTTGTATACGATAACTTTATCACTGTCTATATGATATAGCAAATAAATCCTTGTACCTCATGGAAATCGATGACGTTTAGTTTTGCTATATTTCTAATAAACTCTTTTTCAATCTTCAATGAGTTTACATTTGATTTGTTTATTTTTCTTGTTATTCTTTCATTGCGATTCATTCTATTATTTCTTACTAAAATTCCTTCATCTAATAAATTTCTTACATAACAAGTTACTTGTATAATTTCCCTCAGTTTTAATTATCGATATTGAGTTTTAGGTTTCTTTCCAAAATTTTATCATTTTTTGAAGTTACACCTTTTTTTTTTCTATTTATATTTGACCATGTCAATTCAGACTTTTACCCTTAATTGATTTTATTTACTGATTTTCAGATCTAAGAACACATTTGATTATTCAATTATGGTTAATTTAAGTAATTTACTGACTATATTACACTTAAATCATAACCATTTTGCAATAACTATCTCTTGATTCACAACAAATAACATTCACTTTATCTAATCATGAACAACAAGTTCTAAATATGTCATCGTTTTAACACTCTTCTTGTCGAAACTAGATAACAAAAATGAGATAAATGTACTTAAAGGTAGTTCAAAAAGTATCCGGACACTCCCATGTTTTTTCGTATTTCTTGGCTTGCGAATCAGAAACAAGAGATACACTTTTTCTTTTTTCACCAGTAGATAATCCTTGTTTTGTGCAGCTTTTGACAGGCTTTCTAACGGTATATTTGGAAATTAATTTTAATAAAACATTCATTGTGATCTTTTCCTCGCACTGTCGTATTAAGCATGCTCAAGAATAGGATTTCCTTTGAAATAGTTCATATTGTGAAAATTAACTTTCTTGATTGAAATATTATGCCAACAGATAGAGCTCACTTTGTTTGTTCTAGCGGTGTGCAAATAATATAATTGTGATGTCCGAAAAGTGAGCACCTAACATTTTGGAAAATCGAACATTTCAATGAGAAACGTTCTCGTAATTCGAGATAATAATCAAAATTGTTTATTTTTATAGAAAATCTAGTATGAAGCAAGAACTATCTACTGACGAAAAAAGAAAAATAATATCTCTTGTTGCCACTTCGAAAATCAAGATATATAGGTGTCCGAATACTTTTGAACTACCTGTATTACGAGAAACTTTGGTTAACTCAAACATGAGCATATGTGTATGATGACTGTAAAGAAAATGTTTTATATTGGAGTAACTAAACTTTTATTGCTTTCACTGTTGTTTGTTTACATCATTCAATTATTTTTTTATTATATAAAATGAACTTATTTATAAAATCTCTTTGATGGATACAGTGAATGAAGAATTCTTTTTCCATTGAGTCAAATCAACCAGTGTTTTTCTTTATTTTAATTTTCAACTAATATGAGTAAATGAATGCTTATTTGACAACAAGATCCTTTCTTATTTTCTATTTTCTTTTTATTAATAGATATATTTCAATTAAAAGCATAAAATCAATACTTCAATACAGTTTAAAATCATGAAAAAAAATTTTAACCGTATTTGAATGGATTTAATGAATTTGGATCTTCTTCTTTATGATTGTTTCCTAAACAAATCAGAATAATATTTGTATATTGTACTTTCAAAAAATAAACTACTAACGATATGCACAAAGGGCTGTTGTTAATGTGAGTGGCCGAAATTGTAAGCGATAATCGCATAGAGGAGAATTACGTTTATATGGCCATGAATTTAGTTTTACAGATTGTCTAAGAAAACGTTGCGTTTGAACATCACCAATATTGGTCTTTATTTGATAATCATCATCAATTTGATAATCATCATCAATTCGATATATAGGTGAAAAAGGCATAGCAGATGTACTGATCAGCATAATTACGGCAAAGAATAATATTGGCATACTAGATACATACATTTTTCAGTTTGATCTGCACGGTTGAATTTTCTTTTACTGATACTCGTACACAATTTTCTATACCTCACTGAATTAAATCTCCGTCTATATAATACTTCTTGAGCGTAGGTGTTTAAGATAAAACATAAAAATTTAATTTTGATGACGTTTATTAATTAATTTAATGTCTTTTTTTTCTTTCTTAAATCTCTTATCGCATCACTTGTCTGCTATTCGACATAGACACAATCGACATGTCATTTATGTTTATTAAAAAGCAAAAAAAAAAGCATATTTTCTTTTATTGTCTATTATAATCATGATCATCCCCATCGCATCAAATTATCACCAGCAGATTTTTCTTCTGATTCAGCAGTTGGTTTCATATGTTGATAAGTTGATACACGATACCATGAATTACGACTTGTCCGAGGATAATATGGAAGTGATCGTTGCAACTTATGAATAGATGCATATTTTGGATAAATCACTACGGGAATATAATCATCTTCATTGCTATTGAATTGACCATAATAAGGTGGATTATTGTCATCATAAGAAGAAACATATAATGGACGATATATTGATACACATGAAATACATAATATTGATGAAATTAGAAAACCCAATGGAAATACTAAGGATGTTGACATATTAATGAAGAAAAATCTAGTTGCGTTGTTGTGTAAAGAAATGAAAGTATATAAGTTAGAAGTAAAAGAAAAAGTAAATGAGGATAATCGCTTAAATACAAACTTATTTTCTTAACTTAAAAAAAGCTTTTTCCTTTCCGACATCATTTTTTTTATATAAATATACACACGAGAACCCAAAAATTAATATCAAGGGAAAAAAAGCCTCCAGTATTGACGCCGTATGTTTACCAAACAGATTTATGCTTCTCACTGTTAATAAAGCAGAGTGCATATTTTATGTTTAAAGGAAAAACAACGATAAAAAAACTTATATTCTCTAAGTGCTACTTTTGACATAGGTATAAACTTACGATCTTTAACTACGTAATTATGAAAACAAACAGCATTTTTGTCAATAATTCATTTCATAACTTCAATTGTTCATAACTAAAAGGTTGAAATTACATCAATTAATAAGGTCTATACCTGTGATAGAAACTTTAGATCACACAACAAGTTTCTAACGCATTGATTGAATATACTACAAGCTGTTTATTGGTATTCACATCGATAAATATAATTGTTTTTTTCTAAACTCATGAAGATCACAAGTCTATGTGCATAGTAAAAGTAATATTTCAGAAAAATATTTTTCTTTTGAATCTCAACTGTGATCACTATTTTATTAAGAGAATATAAAAAAAACTCAAGACATTCAGTTAAAATATGACAGAGCTACTAAAGCTTGTTTCTAAAAGAAGCAACTTTTGGATCATCCTGTAGTATATTGATTTTCTACGGAAACTAATGACTATTTATGTCTCTGAGGCGTGATGAATATAGAATCGAAATTTTTTGCACTTTAGTCTTAAAGAATTATTTATATATGTTGTCTTTTCTCTATTGAAATATGTATTACAACTTGATAAAGTGTTTTCCCTATGGCTGTATAGATATTTGATGATTTCCCATTAGAATGTTTTTTTTTATACATAAAATATTTAATTAAATACTAAAACAATTCAATGAAATTATGAATGTTCAGTTTTATGAAAAAACTAATGTTTATTCAAAAACATTATTTCTACAACTATCCAAGTGACTAATTAAGAAAACAATTTATCTAAAAGATTTTTTATAACAAAGTTAATTTTGAAAAAATCAGAAAAGAGATGAGGTATACACCTACAAACTAACATACTTATATGTCACAAAAATTTTTATTTATCCGTCTACACCCACCTGATTATTTTTTAATCAACTATTTGAACTATAGTAGAAGACAACAATATTGACTCATCGAATACTTTAGTATTTGAAGGTTTTATGACATATTCTAATGTATTCTATTCGAAGAATTTAATAAGAAGTCGAGTATATATTCAAATTAAGTATTCTACATTATTTTATAAGTTCACTTAGAGACTAAAGATTCTGAATAAATCTCATAGTGTACACGCATCAAATGTTTCTATATTGTTTTTTTTTTCTTATTATTAAATACATTATTCTAGGTAAAAGATATACAGAAACAAATCAAGCATGTTTACAAAGTTACAACTGAAATTCGAAGATGACGTTTTAGAAATCTTGAGATAAATTACTTCAAAATTTTTCTTAATGAAATAAAAGATAAGAAACTGATTGATCATGTGCTAAGATATGCAGATAATACATAATAACTCTTGATTTTGAAAAGAAAAAAATCTTTTGTATCGAAATCTGATAAATTATTATTGCATCTTTAAACTTAATTCAATCAAAACGAACTGGCGAATGTGGTACAAACTCATTATATTCATAAGCTGTTATTTACAATCTTATTCTATAAAAAAGAAGGTTGTTAGGAAAAGATACTAACGTCCATATTTCTGACATAAAATCTAAATAAATACGTTAAAGAATTGACATCAACGAAATAACTTTATAAACACTCCATAATATTCAATGAAAAAATATGAACTTGATTTAACTAGATAAACCACAGCAAAAGCAACAGGGCAATGACATCCATTCAAATAGCTATAAACTACCTTGTAAGTCTATTCCCCTTTATAATTTAACTTTTTTTCATGTAGTTAAGAATATGATGTCATTATCAAAGTATTCATAGATGCTAGAGGATGCTTATTATTGTAATTAATGTCGAAGATAGGTTGTCAATAAAATTAGACTTATAAGGTAGTTTACAGATATTAGTTTGATGTTAGTATTTTTTAGTTTTTACTTTACTTCATTTAATTTTGTCACGTTCAATAGTTATTAGATGTTAGTGGATGTTCACAGAGTTATGTCGTTTAGCACGATTTTCTTTCCTATTCGTTTAGATGTTTGAAAGAAATATGTGTGTCTGTAGCTTTTCTTAATGAGTAAAAGAATGCGTTTTAAAATCTACAATGACTTTTTTTTTTCTTATTGGTAAAACTCGATAATCAAAAATTTATAGTGAATCGTAAATGAGGAGAATTCCTTATGAAAAATAGCTGACTCGTTTAACAATATATTATTTAGTGCTGATTAGTGAAGGAATAATGCATCATAAATAATGCTTTTATTTTTAATGTTAAAATTACTTTTATGAATATATATATATATATTAAAAAGAAAAACTAAGATATATGTTTTTTCGTTTCCTTGGCTATTATCATGTCAAATAATGATATAAAGCCTAAATTGCTGTGTTTAAAATTTAATCTCTTTTTCTAAACATAAGCAAAAGCAAGAAGATTTTTGCAAAAGGTGATCTATTTGATCGTTTATAAAAGAAAAAAAAAGAAGCATTCTCATTCATTCTTTTAATACGATAATTGGTTATAAATCATGTATAATCTCGACATCCTTCCAAATATCGTTTTTATTTTAATGAATTAATTTAGGAACATCAACTTATGAATCATTTGTTGAAAACTTATACAATGGAAACTTGAATAAATAAAATCTTTTTAATTAAAAAAAACACTTAGGCAGCTCCACTTCTTCATAAAAGAAAGTTCGATTTTATTATTCATTTAGTTATTACTAACTCATAGAAATACAAATTCATGATATGACCTACATAGTCATGTAGTTCTTTTCATTCTTTTCACATTTTAATATCTATTAATAAAAAATAGTATCTAATAGGTATCGCTACAAATTTCTAGAGAGCTGATAAATTTTTCATTTTTGAATGCAGTGCTCCCTGACTATTGTTGCTTGCCAAGTATAATTCTATCTAAATTGAAAATTTAAAAAAATGCAAAATTAATGTCTACTATTCAATATTTAATCTAAGTATATAAGTTATTTCAAATGCCATACATCGAACGATGCAAGAAGCAAAGCATTCTCAAGTGAATAAAAGTAATGTGTCAAGTTCACCAAACTGTTGATTTAAATTTACATCATCATCATCATCATCATCATCGCGAAGATTTTAACTCTAATTATTTTTTCGATTGAAAAATTGTGTCATCATCTCAAATGAAGGCTTCATGATCAACAGAAAAAAGCGGTGTTAATATCAGTATGCCAATGATCTTTGCCACCATCTTTATCGATATAATTTCTACATCAACACTATACTATTTTTCAAATAATGTACTCTTGCAATATTCAATCAACATAATAGTTCCAAAACAAGGTAAAAAAATACAAGTAGTCGATATCTCTCATAAATAACAATAAGGATAGAAGTTATTCTTTATTATTAAAAACTCATTGGTAGCTGTATAATGTATAAGAAAAAGAGAATTATAAGAATTTATTTTTTACTCGAAACACAAGTTCAAATTTTATCTATTCTCAGTTGAGTAGTTCAAACAAGGTTAACTTTAATTGACTTTAAATATCATCGATTTATGTAAAATTAAGTCTTTTGGCGTTTTTTATTTTTGAAAAAATAACTATTCGATAACAATACTAGTAGCCTTCGTTTTCTACGAAGCGCTGAAGGACAACATAGATATTGTCATCCCCTATTAATATTCTCGTTACTACATGTACATGCTGTATACTACAATCTTTTTTCTGTGTGTTCTCTTTTTTTGTACATGTCTATTATACAATCTGTGGGCGAGCGACGAGATGTGTGAATAATATCAACAGAAAGAAAGGATAAGTACACAGTTTATGCAATAGAATAAGATAGTATTGCCGACCGCCCATTGATAAAAGAATTAATTGTATTTTCTCGAGAATTTTTCCATAGGATAAAAAAAGTAGAGAAGAAGGACGCTATGTTTCTTGGTTAGACTGATAAGTAAACATAGATATACTGACAAGGAATAGATCTGGAAGATATATGACGACGAAGCCATCTTTTTCTTCTTTTTTTCTTCTTATTGTATAGAAATATACAGTTGCTGATTTTACTAGCTTTTTTTCTCTCTCTCGTGCTCTATATTGGTTAGGAACTTGTCAATATATCGTCGTTGTCGTTCTCGTATATAACCGCAAACGAACATAATAATATCTGAAGCAACATCAGTGAGAAAGAACGAAGAAAGAACAAACAACATATCAACTGCTTTAACATTAGTAATACATGATGGCCACTCTTCGTCTTGTAACATTACTTGCTTTAGCTATCTTTTGTTCAATAGTTATAGCACAAAATAAACCATGTGAATCATGCGACCCAGGCAAATGTCCATTGGTAATTCTAGAATGATGTTGTCTGGTGATTTTTTTTTTCATTGAAAAAATCTGTATAAATATTTGTAGACCTTGGACAAAGAGTGTCTTGCCGGATTGACACTCGACAGATGTGGTTGTTGTCAAGTTTGTGCTCAACGCGAGGTTGGAAACCTAACTGTATAGAAAACATCTGTACCTATTAATTTTATCTATAGAGTGAACTATGTAATCATCCAGATGTTCCATCAAGCAAACAATACGAAGCATGTGGTGAAAATCTCCAATGCAAGTAAGTAGTTTGTAACAACGATTAAAACCTGTTCGAACTGATAATTCAGTCTAGAATAGCTCTTGTCAACAAGTTAATGATGGAACTAACGTAACTGTTACCTGTCGTTTTGAGCTTCTACTAGGTTCACAAGAGAGTCTCAATGATACTAGAAAAATCCTAAAACGATTCGTGCCCATCGGCTTTTGGAGTCGAGTTATGATCGTTTTACTGAATTGTTGATTCAGCTTTGGGTGAATGCAAAAAGCAACAAATAACGAAATTCCAGTCTGTAATTATGCCTATAGATAGATCTGATGACTGTGGTAGTATTCTAAAACTTTCAATCGAACAGAAGATTTCTTTGTCGAGATGTTGAATTTCTAACAAATGGTCATTTGCTATAGGTATAGTACAACAATCGAGTTTACTCGAAAATTCAGTATCTCAACCAAAGACCCTCATTTTCGGCTGAAAATTTCAGGTCGAAATTCCGTTATTTGGTTCTTCCGTAAAATACTTAAATCTGAAATAAAAACTCAGAAAAACTGTCATAACTTGACTCTAGAGGTTCATGGAGACAAAACCTTTTTTAGGATTTGTCTAGTCTTACCGAGATTTCTTCGTCAACCCAATATGAGTTCAAACGGTAGATATCAGTTCTTGATAATACCCGCGTAAGAATTCAAAATATTTAATTATTTTGATTCATCAGAATATTGAAAGTGAACTTTGTTTGCTTGTATAACATCGATATTTAATTGTGACTATATACTTATCCAAAATACTCAAACTTTCTGTATTCAAAAGTAGTTTGTTACGTTCAACATATTTTAAATAAATTAAGAGAAATATCAAAATTTCAAAAATAAATATGTCATTTTCAACATTAAATATAACTTTTTGACATATAGACTTCGTTTGGATAGTCGTGGAGTATCCCGTGAAGCTCGATGTGAATGTAATGATCAAGTTGAAATGTGTGGGTAAGTTGAGATCATCAATTTTTTTGAACAAAATTTCTAAGATTTCTTTTCAAAAATAGTTCCGATGGTAAGACCTATCGTAATTATTGTCATTTAACGGAATCAAGCAAACTTGCTAAAATTGAACAAAAACCAGTTATTAAAGTATTTAAACGTAAACCATGCGATTCAGGTATACATATGCTATGAAGCAAAAACCAAATCTTATTTTTCTTCTGTTATGTTTCTTATTCTTTTCTAGCACCTGAAATAACATTACCACCAGTTAGTGTTTCAAATAAAACAGGAAGTAATGTATTTTTAACATGTGAGGCTGCTGGTGTTCCATTACCTGTTGTTGAATGGCTTTATACTGCACCAACAGGAAAACAAATTGTCTATCCAAGTAAATATATTAATATATATATATATATTAGATAAAATATAATATATCTAATGATTAATATAGCTGATGATGATCGTATCTCGACATTAGTTCGTGGTGGACCTAATGCTCATGTTCTTACATCATGGCTTCAAATTCAATCATTACAACGAAATGATCAAGGTACATATACATGTATTGCAAGCAATCCTTTGGGCAAAGTTGAAAAATCATGCACTGTCTCTGTTGAACGTGAGTAAACTTATATGTGCTTTTTCTTTTTTATAAAATTTTATTATATATTTAGTCGGTCGTGATCTTTAAACGAACAGAACAATCGACATAAATATTTATTCTCTAAGCTTAAAAAAAAACAAAACAACCATTTATATCCATATCAGCTGATCTGTTTGCAGTTTGTTAAAAAAAATTTTCTATCTTGTCATTCAATGTGTGTTTAAGTAGAACATTAGAATATTCGAGAAATCAGTCTTTTTTTTGTATTATTCAAGTTCTTTTTTTTCTTGTTCATGTTTTTTTAAACATATACAGTTCATTCTTTTAATTCATCATTTTATTTTATTGAAATATGAGACAAAAGAAAAAAAAAGTTATCTTTTCATCGAAAAATAGTTTTAATTCTCTGTATATTATTTATCACAGATATTCGACAATAATTAGTCACTATCATAATGATTTTTTATTGTTTTTGATGACGCTTATTTGGGTTTGCTTGTTGATTTTGTTGTTGATGATGATGGTCTAGTAGCACGATGCGATGCAGGCGGTCTTATATCCTTCTTTTGATAATCAATTAATTCTCTTGCATAGATTCGAATAGCACGTCGTTCATCTCGACTTCGTAATGTTTCAATCCAATAGTCTTTACATGAACGACGACAATTTGATAATGTATTTTCTGTAATACTTTCTCGTAATATTTGTTCAAGAAAAGGAAATTTAAGATATTCATAATCGAATTCACCTAGACATTTTAAAATACGCTAGAAAAAATCAAAATTCATATAAATTATGAATTATTTTTAAAAACAATATCATTATTTATAAACTTACAGTAATACGTAAATAATTATGAGATGATGTATTTAAATTACGAAAACGTGATTTATAATGATCATCAGGTAAACGACGTATTTCACCCGTTTTTTCATCGACTAATTCAAATCCATAAAAATCAAGCCTACAAAAAAAATTAATAGAACATATCAATTTATAAAAATTATTTGTTTAAAAAATTAAATTCAAAATTGAAATTCTTTTCTTTTGAATGATAACAATTACAATGATTTTTAAACTTACATGAGTTTATAAGATGTTAATATTCGTTTTAGTGCTTTTTCATCTTTTTTAATTAATTCAATTTCATGTTTTTGTAATGGCTCAGCAGAATAGTTAAGACCTTGTTCTTGTAATGGAAATAACCATTGAATATAACCATGATGAAATTCTAATTTACGATAATCACCAAACCATTTTTGATGTATGTTATCAATAAAATCTCCATCAGGATGAGAAGCTATTTTATTCGTATAAAAATTATAATTATCTTTTATTCTTGAATTTTGTCGTGCATCTGGATAACCACTACGATATTCGGCTATATCACGTTGAGCCCATGATGAATATCTTGAGTTTTCCTCGCCATCCGAATCATCAAAACGGAGACTAAGTCGAGATGAAGCAAGTGATGATCGTGTCATATGAACAGGTGATTTATTAGTAGCTTTATTTTCATAATCGTCATCATCACTCATGGATGGCATAGAATTGTTTGATCTTGGTCGATTAATAGAGTTAGTATTTGTTTTAGGTGTCTGAAAATAAAACAATTGTTTTATTAGCTATAACTATTAGTTAGTGTCTACTTTTTGTTCTTTATTCATTTGTTGAGTATTGTCAGTTTTTTCTTTGGTTGTAGGATCATTCTCTGTTTTCTTTGCTTTTTTTGTACTTTCTAAATATATAAATCAAAGGAATATCACCAATTATAAAAATACTCATTCATCAATATTACCATTGGATGGCATGTCTTCTTTTGCCGATATACAACCTATAGTTAGTCGAAAAAAAAATTCGACATTTCAATGTAGTGAATCTTAGTTTATTTGATATGAAAGTATTAGTTTTTCATCGTATCAAACTATTTGTGTTAGAATTAAATGAACAATTATGATCTTATTTGATGAAATATTTTTGAAATTTACAAAATTTATTACGTTCTAAAGATGAATCCATTTTTGATAACTGTAAGGTGACAGCAGTGCGAAAATGGAGTCAACTATTTTTGACGTGTTTTTGTCAAAAGTGAATAGAGCTCGTCGAGTTACCAACAAAAGTGTTATTTTTGACACATTTAGATGATCTTTTCGCAGTGAAACTTAGGAAAATTAGATTTATAACAAATTAACGAAGTCTATGTAAATTGAAATTAATCAAAAATATTAAGTCTCAGTAACCGCAATATTTATTGGACTTTGTTTTTTTTTCATTTCACTCAGCATCTATTTAAGAAAAGAATATATGCATGCTTTTTGAAAAATATTGTTTGATTGTTGACAAACTCGATTTGTCGATATGATAGTGAAAAAACCGCAACAATAGCTTCGTATTCAGTAATATTCACGATCAAAAATTCAGTTTTAATAGAAACGAATATTATCATGTTCAGAATGAGCACAAATCTATATCGAATAGAATAATCAATATTTAAGACTAATTTTCCTTCAATTTCGACCTTAAAGCAGCTATATGTTGAAAATAACAATGATAGGGTGGAAGTATGAAAATTTGACGAAAACTACTTTTAATTGTATAGTATACTATTTGATGTAGATTTTTATGCTCATCGTGCATAGAATATTTGCTTCTTTTGGAAGTAAAATGTTGATCGTGAAAATCTCTGAGTACGAACCCATTTTTATGTTCTTTTTGCTGTAAAACGAAGAAACCAATTTTCTCAGCAATCGAATAATATTTTTCAAAGATATGCATATATTATTTTCTAGCTACATGACGATTTGACAACAAAAAGAATTCGGGTAGATATTGAGGTTACCAAGATTTGATACGCTTTGCATATATCAATTTTTTGTAGGTTTTTCTAATATGTTTAAACTTCTCAAATTTCGAATCACCAAAACTTTATATTAAACCAATTACAATTAAATACTAGAAAATAATAATCAAAATTTTACAATGAAATAATCTATGCAAATCAACCTAATTTAAAAAATAGATTTTATTGATGAAAACCGAAGAATTTATAGTTAATCGACTAAATAGACATTGTATTATAAATGTAAAGCCTACAATTAAATCATTACCAATTAAAAGATACAGAAATTACGAATACTTCCTATCAAAGACATGTTAATATACTAGTTTAAAATTCTTTTCTCAAAATCTTGATATTCATCTTTCGCAGTTTGTTTATTGATTATCTATTTACTCATCTTTAGATAGATTTAAACAAAATACTATTTATATTAAGCTTTTTCTTTGAAAAAGTAAAATGTCTATATCGAACATTCATTCATTACAAATGATTTTTCACAGAATATATTCGTGAAAAGTTTATGCAATCATTAATTTGTTAATAAACGAATATAGTACGTTTAGATATTCATGTATTAACAAAACAAAGCAACATGTGAAGAAGACATCACAAAAAATATACCCATTTCAGTATTCGTAGATCCTAAATATCTAGTAAAATTCAGAAACAGTTATATAATTATGTTAATAAACAAACCTTCGGATGGCTTTGGCTCCTCTGGTAATCTCTTTTTTCCACCACCAGGTATGTCGTCCTTAGTTTTTATATCGTTTTTGCTATCGTCATCACATTGCATAGCTTCAATTGGTCCATCATCGTCCATATATACCTATCTAAAATTAAAAATAAATCAATCGTAAGCTTTTCAAGTTATTTGATCCATGATGAACAAAATGTTCTAATAAGAATTCTACAATATAAATAATAAATGTTATTTCTAATCATGATAGTTCTTCATTATAACTAAACCAAAATAAATGAGTGATCAACAAATCAAAAAATTATTATGATAGGAAATTTTTCGACTTAACAAAGAAAATCAATTGTTTTACAAGACAATACCACCTTTAATCATCTTTTTTCTTATCAATTAATGTATAAACATCATTTCGTTGTTGAGATAAATATGGTAATTGTTTTCTGATTGTATTTAAATGTTCAAGATCAATATCTCCATATATAATTTCTTCATTCATTTCACATTTACTGATTATTGTTCCCCATGGATCAACTAATGTTGTATGTCCCCATGATTTATAATCTGCTTGTTCATCATGTGCTGGACTAATACCAGCAACATACATTTGATTGTCAAGTGCACGTGCACGTAATAATAATTCCCAATGTGCTGGACCTGTAGTCATATTAAATGCTCCAGGATAAAGAAGAACATGACATTGGCGGTTTGAATATAAAGATGCCAAAGATGGAAAACGAAGATCATAACAAATAGCAACGCCAATACGATACTGTTGATCAATATCAAATGTAAATAATTGTTGACCAGGTGACAATGCATCACTTTCTTTAAAAGTTATTTTACCTGGAATATCAATATCAAATAAATGTATTTTACGAAATTTTCCTAATAAATTTCCATTCGGATCAAAAATAGTTGATGTATTATAAAGTTTTTCACCCTCACATTCAGGTATTGAGCCACCAACAAGATAAGTATTTGTTTGACGTGCACATGCACTTAATGCTTGAGTCGTTTCACCATTAGGTATTGTTTCAGCATATTGAGAAAAATATTTAACACCATATGGACTATTCCATATTTCAGGTAAAACAATAAGACGTGCACCATTTGATGCAGCTTGCCGGATCAAATCACAAGCTCGAGTTATATTTTGTTGTTTTGATTGCGAACTAAGAAATTGTATTAAAGCAATTTTTAATTTTGACGTCATTGTGCTTTGTGTTTTAGATGAATATGTTGAGCAATACCACTAAATAATTGTTTCTTTCTTCAAAAATGAAATATCTTGTGACATCTAGTCGTGTAAACAATTGGTTGCTAAATTGACGTGTAGAAGTCATATTTGTTTCGTACGATCGAACGCGAAGAAAAAATGAAAGAACGTCTCATTTTAGATTTTTACACGACATTGATTGCATCATGGATGAATCTTCTTCATCATCATCAAGTCTTGTTTCAATTACTTCACCATCAACAGTACCTTATATTAAATGTAATTTTTTAGATAAAAATACAGGTAATTTAATGATGATTTCTTTCGTTTCTTGTTAATTGAGTATGATATTTTTAGATCTAAATGAAAAACCTGTATGGAATAATGAAATGGCTTTATTACTTTCATATTGGCTTCAACAAAGAGCCAATCATGATGATATTTTTGGAAGGTTTGTGGAAAAAATATAACTTGTTTTCATTTGAATATACATTTTTATTGATCGTTCATGTTAAATATTAAAAATTCTGAAAAGCAGAAAGAAAAAATTCAATTCTACAGACTATTGTCATAAAACGCAACAGTCTCTATCGCAAAAGTCTTTGCATAAATGTTGATCCGTTTTTATAGAATTTAAAATTAAGCGTAGTATTTAAAAGAATCTCTCCAACTACAAAACGTCCTTTTTTGTCTAGAATTTGAGAGAAAAATTCCCTTTAAAGATCTTTAAATTCTTGATAAAATTGTCAGATTTAGAAAATTTATGTCTGTGACAAAATGTTGTCTAAATAGTTATTACACCATCGTTTATAATGCTTTATTCTAGAATATGCTACAAAAAAAAGATGATGAAAGGAAAAAATTTATATGATATTTATAATCATGTTTGTAAGCAGTCGAAAAATGAACAAAGATCTCTTTAGCGGACATCTATAATGTATGAAAAGTTAAAATTCAAATTTCTGGTTCTATATTGTAGAGTAAACACTTTTTTTTAAATGAGATGTCGACGAGTTTTATTTTAGATATGCTTCAATTTATTACAGTTTTACGAAACGTTATGAATAGATTAAGACAATGTTTTACAACATATGTGGTGTCAAGAAAGTAACTAAACAAAGATTATTTTGAATATCTTTGCCATATTTCAACCTTATATACTGATATTTTTACTGCTTATAAACGAGTGTTCATAGTTCATCTTTATTAGAGCAACATGCTCAAAATTTGATTTTAAGTAGTACAACTGATTTCAACAAAGATCTGCAACATTTCACCAGTTATAAAAAATTAGTATTGTAGTTTTGTCAACGAATTCTTGCTGTTTATGGTTGGAAGTTTTATATTATACTGACTAACACAACATGCATCTGTAGTATACATATGAGTCCGTCCGGTTGGTTCCAGATCCGAAAGTTTTCGACTTCGCAGGGTTCAAATTCCGAGCGACACTAATCTGAAGAATCAATCAAAAAAATTAGATGTCGTTTATTTTTGTCTAAGAAAATAAATATACTGTTTTTTCATAACTTGTAAAAGTTTACAGTTCTTTGTTGAAGTAAGTTGTAAATATTTTAAAAATGATTCTCTTATGAATATAAGCTATGAACACAACATTTCAGTGAAAAAAATATTGACCCATATGGTAGAGATATTTAAAGTTTACTTTGTTTAATTATTTTCTGGATACTCTTTATACCTTGACCATATATCATTGTTTTGAATAAACAAAATTATACTATTGAATGTTTAATAAAAATTTTCTTTTCAACAAAGGCTGATCACGATTGACATAAGATAATTCTAGCTTTTGGTTTTTTTTTATATTCATTTAATCTGAACTTTTAATTTTAGTTTTCGTTCAGCAAATGCACATACGGATAGTTTGGGTGAGGTTGATGTTATATCAGATGCTGAGGTTCGTCTTTTTTTCACATACAAAACACATTATTAAAAATTTTTTATTTATTTATAATAGCATATAAAAAAATTACTGAAAGTTCCATTTAATAAACATAGTCAAATATCAATGATAGTACATCGTTTGGGACGAACGATACTTCTTGATGAATTTGATGTTCATTCACATTTATTACGTCTTGAAAAAGTATTTAAATAATCATTGTTAATATTTTTTTCGTTTTTCTAATAAATATTATTTTAATTTAGAATGAATGGACATGGTTTCGAGATTTTTTTCTTGATACAATTCTACGCAATATTTCCGTTAAACATTTTTATAAAAAAAATAAAACACGTGATGAACTTATACGAAAAGATCGTTTAGTTAAGTTTTTATGTCAAAGGTATTTATTTTGTTTTCTTTATTTCTTTCTTTTTCTTCTATTAAATTATTTGATATTATAGTGTCGAATTACCTAAATTAACACGTTCAACGTCTAATAATGATGAAGCTCAATCAACAGAAACAACAACAACAACACCAAATGAATCAACAACAACTACTGCTGCAGCACTTCTTCAACAAATAAAAGACCTTGTTAATGCCAATAATAATCTTGATGATGATAATGATGACAATAAAAATTCAAATTTTACTTCATCACCATTTCAACGAACTGTCAATTGGACATTTGAAAATATGAAAATGTTAATTGGTTCAGATTTACCTATTTTTGGTGATGAACAACATCCAGCTGTTAGTCTTCGCTTGAGGTATAAGCCATTGTTCCACTTGAAAAATTGTTGTAGAAAATGGAATTGAGATAGTTTTCCATGATGTCGATTATCTTTTATGTCTCTACATATGGGTCATTGATCAAGTACATCAGGACTTGACGGAAACTGTCATCTCTTTTTGACTTTTTCTGGTTCTCGAAGACAGGATAACCGATTGACCTGAAATTTCGGCACCAAAAATAAGAAGACACGTGTTTTTGGAAAAAACTTTGAAGTGAAGTTTTGTGGTTTCTTCTGGAAAACCCTGATTTTCATAGGGCTTCACCCTGGTACACACTACGATATTCATCAAACTTCATCCAATTGAACTGAACATCTTTTTAGAGATAACTTAGGCTGTATCTCAGAGGTTATTTTAAGCTTTTCCAGATATTCGAGTTTCTTTTTTCTTATTCAGTACTGTTCGGTGCCAACACTCGTGGTCTTGTCCTTCAGGGTCCTGTAAATTCGAATGGGAAAGTCAAAAACGATAACGACCGCTTTTATCTCTGAAGGACATTTTTAAAAATCAGTAGTAAAAGTTTTAGCCCGGTGAGTTCTACCGCCTTTGACAACTCAAAGTAGTCAAAAAAGCAGTGGGTACCCTTAAATTAGCTTCCTAGGAAATCCATAAAAGATCTCATATGAATGAATTTGCTTCAAATAATTAACTGCTGTAGTAAAAATTATATTGGGTATTTGTAAAAGATATGAAGACCCCCAAATCGAAAACTGATACCATTAATAGATAGAGCTCGGCGTGCTGATTCTAAGACCCATATTTTTGGCCAGATGAGTAACCCTACTCGATTTAGGTATATCCTGAAAAATATTAGCCTTTTATATGCTTGCATAAGAAAAATAGCAGGGACCTACTTTTTCAATTTTAAGTCCTATAATTGAATTTTGGCATATATTCGGAATTCGATTAGAAGGCTTAAAATTGAAAAAGTAGGTCCCTGCTATTTTCCTTATGCAAGCATATAAAAGGCTAATATTTTCAGGATATACCTCAATCGAGTAGGGTTAGTCATCTGGTCAAAGATATGGGTCTTCGTAGGTCTTCGTAGAATTAGTTCGTCGAGCTCTATCTACTAATGGTATCAGTTTTCGATTTGAGTGTCTTCATGGGCCTTCGCGTCTTTTACAAACATCCAATTATATTAGTTTGATTTATTGAACCTCCATAACTAACTATAACTGAGATTTGGATAAAACTTTAAATTAT